TCCTTTTCGACTGTGTCTGTGGCCTGTTTTGGTTGGGGATTTTCAGCATTTTCCGCTGGGGACTGGGGACTCGAAGTGTTTTATTCATCGTCAGTCGTCTAGCGTCATCGTCTTCGTCTCCAACTGACTTTAATGCCATTTTCGTGCCCGAACTGTTGCTTTGAATAAATGCGCAGTCGTACGTAGTTTTTTGCAAGTTGTTGCAGTTTTAACTGCTCGCTAGGGTCTTGGAGTCCAGTGCGAAATTCACTGGGAATGGGTTTTGGATTGGATTGGATTGGATGGGATGGGTTTTAGGACGGGAAACGGGGGACCGACAGGTAGAAGGATGTGGTAATTGCCATGTGGTAGCCGTCGTTACCTAAGCAGGTGTTTACGTCTGCGATTTTGTTTGTTTACCTTGTCTGCTATTGCAATTGAACATGCAATAAATAGTTCTTGCAATCTGTCGTACTCAATCTCTTTTCGGTGGAGACCTTGCCCATATTTTGCATTTAATATGCCAGAAAATTGGGCTTGTATTCAGCTCACTGCATTTTATTGGTATTTATGTGGAAAATAAATGGATATTGACACTATCTTAAATAGAATGTTGCTTGATTTCCATAATATTTAAAGTGTTACATAAAAAAAACAAAGTATATTAAATATTATTGAACAAATTATCATATTAAGAACATCAAAATCGTATATTATTTCTTATAAAATAAGATAAGTGTATTTAGCACTTCGGTTCATACCCATATATTTTAAAACGATTTTTATTTTTTCATAATTCTTTGTCTTGTTGGCCCACGCGACTCACACACAGCCTGAAATCCATCATAAGCCCAAAGACATTTATAAATTGGTTTTCAGTCGTGCTTGCTCTCTGAGATATTCGCACAGCCCACATGATTATAATGGAGGTCCCCCGATATCTTTAATTGGCCTCAACATTGAAATGTCACATCAGTTGGTAGCATAATTAGAGACAATAAATTTAGCTCTTAGCCATTAGCACTGCATTTGTACCCAACTCGATCTAAATATATCAAATTTCCTTTGCTTACAGTTAATGCTGCATATATGACAGACCCACACGACATCGACAGCGACTGAGACAAGTAAGTTGAGTGTGCAATTAAACCCCGCAAAGATAGAATATTTATGTAAATTTCCACATACAATTTGTTGTTTATTAAATTTGTTTCTCCACAAGGAGAACTCTGTCCGGGTCTGACCCCGATCCCAGATGTAAAGCAAAAGTGGAGCGGATTGAGAGGGCGGTTTGGGGGAGTAGGGTTTGCCACGCCCGGTTTAGTTTCTTTTTTCCTGTGCAGGCGGCATATATATCTTTTATTTATTTTAATATGGGTTGAAGAGAGCAGGAAGTGAGGCTTTTGAAAGAAAATGGGACACTTTTTACACACAATCGGGCTTTAACTTTGTAATATAGAGCTGCCAATCCTCTATAATATTACGGATTGTTTTGTTGAATATAGGTATTGTTTTTATGAATGAAAAATATTTCCAGTTATTTTTATAGTCAGATTTGATCAATTTGGAGTTGTTAAAGAAGTTCATAATTTTTTTTTTAACACCCTACCATTTTATATCGATGGTGATGCCATTTCTATGCCAACTGATGGCAACGGGAGAATGTTTCTAAAAGGATTATCCACAAAGGATGCTGCTGTGCCGCAAGGAAATTGAATCCTCCGCCTTTCTTCCTTTCACCGCTGATGTCATTTGAAGGCGCCGGCAGTCATAAAATTGATTTTGCATTAAAATTCGTTTAACAAGCAATTTTGCTTGCGTAAGGTATAAAAAGCTAGGGAGTAGGCACTTGGAATCAATTAATTCACTATTTATATATAAACATACAAAGATGTATATGTGAGTGCAAAAAAGTTGAAGGCGCCTCGCAGATTTTCCCCTCATCTCTCTCATTTGGGAAAATGTTTGGCTCGTGGCTGCGAGTTGGCCAACCGCATCGTTTGCTGACCCAATTTTCTTCGGCTAAGAATAGCGAAAAATGTTTAAACGAATGCTGCCGTCTATTCGAATATCTTTCTGCCTCGGATTACACTCGATGGTGCAGCAGCTCTATATGCTTAACTCTTAGCCAAGTGACAGGCCAACTTTCTTGTAAAAGAAACACAATGTTCTTAAAGTTGAAATCAACTACTAGAGAGCTAGAAAAATGGGAAAGTGAAATATGGTCAGGGTGTCTCAGTATATTCGATATTTAATTGCTATACGGTGAGTTAAGCTGTACTGTCAGCGCTTTGACCATATCCCACTAATTAAACGTAATTTATTTAGCCACGTCTGTTAGTGCCAAATAAAATACGCTAACAAATTTATAACAATGGCCAAAAAGTTTAAGTTGGCTGCCAACCAAATGCTGGCGACAAGATTTATTCAATCAAATCTATTTTCATTATTTTTCACTTGTCATCTTGTTGTAATTGTGAAACCAGCCGAAAGGTAAAGAAAAGCGCCACAGGCGTGTCTTTTAATTGTCACACTTGGTCGAGTGATTTCTTTTTTGTGAATTTCCCATGGGCAGTGAGCAGTGAGTACCCCTAATTCCTTACGGAATATTTCGATGGCGCTTCCGCATTGTTGTTCGTATAGCTCCAATGTCTATTTGGTGTTCATAAATCAATTTGCTGCAATTTCAACAATTTTTGTTTGACTGCGAGGCTGTCGATCAATTGGCATAGGAACCAAAATTAGAAAACAACGAAAGCAAATCAATCTATCGACTGGCTATTTGCATACATCTTTATGCCCCAGCAAATGTGGGCATTTGCCAAGAGTTCTCAAGCATGGAGGTGATAAGAAACTTGATTTCAAGTTGAGACATTTATTAGTTTAAAATCATCTCCATGTATTTGAAATTTTCCATTTGGTTTCAATACTAAATTTCTTTATAACTTCTGAAAACTATTCACGTTTCAGTGACATATTTCTTTCACATAGAAAAAGAAACAAATAAAAGAACAAGAAAATATTCAAATTACGTGACTTTCATGTCGAATTCTTGAAGTACTTCTTCTGTTCCATGGTGTTATTAGAAAGTGCCCAAGAAAGAGCTTCCTTATCAAAGTCTGATAAAAAACAACACTTGTTCACTTGGTTAACTTGTAGATACAATATCTATAAATCTATAATTAGAGCTCCCTTTATGTGTTCTGTGTATATCAACAGTTTGTGACGAATGTCTCACGTTGTTGGGGTGGTTGGGATGTTCCTGGCTTTTGTTCACCTTTCTGGACTCATTGTACCTTTGTCATTCGTCTTTGTAGAGTGTTTTCATAAAAATGCCTTAAAAATGATCCCGGGCAGTGGCTCTGCAACTCGCAACGCAACGCTCCGGATAAATAATTAAATAAATAAACACAAAACATTGTGATATAATCGACAAATATTGTCAAAATTTGAACAAACGAGTCAATTGCTTCAGGTAAGCAACTAATTATGTCAACAGACCAAATAGAAAATAATCAAAAAAAAAATTGGGAAAAAATTAATTATTTTGTTTATGAATGAGACTACAAGATGTTTGCATTTTGAATATTTAATACAAATTTTCTGGCCATTGGCCAATTTCCCACTAGGAAAAGAAAGAGAAATTTCAGCCTTTCAAACTGAAATGGTTCATTTGTTCTCGAAAACCTTGATCTTGTCCATGCCATGTGCCTCACTTTATAAACTATGAAATCTTCCGTTTGCTCAAAAGTCTACAAATTTGATTTTATTTCTGAATCTATGACTAATTGAGCTGTTTAATGGTGGGGTATTTTTGGGCCACCCTCAAATAGCATAAGTGATGAGTCACACGCTCGTCTAACCCCCAAAAGTCGAAAGTCCACCCTCGCCGGTTGTTTTGATACCCTGCCCTCTCCCAAATTTTCGGTTAATTTAAATTTTCCTCCCTGCCTCAACAAACTTCGCGTTGTGGCGACAGTTGGCTGATAAAACAGCAGACAAAAATCGATAAGCGCTAAACTTTTCATTTTCTTTCGACTTTAATTTTCGTGTTTCATCTCACACGCCCACCCACTCTCTCCCCATTTCTCTGGCCATTTCTCCCTTTCGTCCGCGCAATGACATAATGTGGTGTGTGCCCAATGTGACCCACAAGGCTTTTGTTTAACCCAGACAAACAAAGAGGGCTTGCGAGGGAGCGAAAGAGATCGAATACTACATGGAAAGAAAGATGAGCTACGTTCTTGATGTTATATGGCGGTTCTCAAGAAACTGAGATTAGGAAGTTCTGGGAACAAGATATAGATATTCATATTCATATTCCTCCTATAAAAAATCATATATACAATTGATTAATGTAAAAACAACCTTACAAGTTTATCAGTTAAGTGTACAAAACCCTCGGTTTTTTCCTCTCTATAAAGAGTGGTAAAGGAAGACAGTCGGGCTGTCGCCAATTGCGTGTCCCACCCACTCATCCATCCACCGCCCCTTTTCTGTCCGAACAGTGGGCGTGGTTGGGGGCATTGAGCGGGCTCTTTTTTTTATTACTTTGCTGGCGCCAATCGAATTTTTGCCCCGAACTTTAATAGACGATGAGACAACAAAAATTGTATCCGACTTTTGGCATTGAGCAAGGGATTTCTTGTGTGGGCTGCTGTCGAATAATTTGTCAGGGACTATATCTATGCAAAAAAGGAACCTTTTTTGCGCTTCCAAGCACATGTATTACGGATGGGGAGAATACCATTTATTTGTGAAACGATAAGCAAGGATTTCCTCTTAGTTTCACAAAAGAAACCTTCCTTTCATCTCATTGTTCAAATTGAGAAGTAGATTAAAGAGGCGGGTTTTGGCATGCCCATATCATATAGCATTTTAGGTTTCGCTAGTTTCATACAAGGAAAGGATTGGCGGAACATATTCTCAAGGTACTCGCATCCGAAACACTAGATCCCAGTAACCCCCTTGTCTTATCTCTAACCACAAAATCCTCGAGACCTGCCACTCATTTTAGTGTATTACAAACCTCGGAACAGGCCACATTTCTATAAGCATTATATTATATATATTACAAAAATATTTCCATTTACCTTTTTGGCTCGCGCCGCAAAAGCAAAATCGTACAAATTCATTGTTAGTTTTTAGCAATACCAAAAGTAATTACAAATAAGGAAGGCACAGTGCCGCAATCGATACGCGTTGTTCAGAATGAATCCCACCAATTTGGGCAGGCAGAACGGAGCTGTGGTGCTAGAGGTGTTGAAGGTGCTGGGTCGTCCGGCGACCAGTTACGAGGTGGCCGAAAGGGTGGCCGATGTCTATCGTTTGCCGCTGCAGCGCATCCGTCCAGTGGTCACCGACGTCCTCGAGGGCGGAAAGCGCGAGGGCTTCTTCAGCTGCCTCAACGGTCGCTACTCGGTGGTGCAGCCGGTGGTGGACCAACTGGGTCGGGACATCGATCAGTATGCCGCCGAGATTCTGGCTGGGTGCAGTGCCGAGGGAGCCCTGCCCCAGATGTCGCCCCTGATGCTCAAGCTCCAGCAGCTGGACGGATCGCCGTCCATGGTGAATGGGAATCGGTACCGCCGGACGACCTCGGGGGAGCAACGCGAACGGATGCCCTCCGGGGATGTGCCCATGGACGCCCGTCTCCTCATGCTGCCCGTCGTCTCTACCCTACTGTGAAAATTCTCCATCCATCAAATTGTCCAACCCATTGCACAGATCTGTGAGTGCAATCAAAAACTTCTGGCGTCCAATAAACTTTGGGGCAAGGCTCCGAATAGAATTTTGATTAGTGATTTCTAGGGTTATTTAGATATTCGGCGGTGCCACTCAGAAGTCACATAAAAATCATTTTAGGTGTCTAAAAGTATGCAACAATATATTTTAAACTGGCAAGTACAATGAATTTGTGCAAAAAGAACGAATGTCCTTTCCTACTGCATACTTTAAGACATATTTAAAAGTGATTTCAAAGGGAGGTAATATTTTTTTTAAACTTTACTCATTTAAGGAAATGAAATAAAGTTTAGAGGAAATATTTAACGATAACTTTGAGAAAGGAAAACATTTTCATAATAGAAAGTACATCTAATTGTAATCCCTTAATAAGGCCCCCTTTTAAACCACTAGTCTTGATTATATCCCCGAAAATGGGGCAATGACTCGTCCTCGTTTGTTTCTCTTATTCCCAGGGGCTATTGTCCTTTGTGCGATTGAGTGAATGCGGGACATTCACATCCAGAAAACACTCGCACAAAGAACAAACAGCTGCGGTCTTGTGGCTTACTTTTTTTTCCTCCATTTGCCCCGGCGCAAATAACACTCCACTTCAGGGTTTCCACCTTGCAGCTCCCACTTGGCAGCTCCCAGTTGTGAGTCCTCCTCGGTTCTCGGTTCCCAGTTCCCAGTTCTCGGGTCCCGACTGTCCATTGTCAGGTTGTTGCCTGTCTAGGCGGATCCAAACAGAAGTTCAAACTCGAGTGGCAGCTTTTACCGGCTCATTTGCCTTTGGCTTTTGTCTGGCTCACTTGTCAGCTCTCAAAGGCTATTCCAATTATAGCTCCAAGTTGGCTAAAATAGGTTCGCACAAAACGCTCTACTTGAGTTCAAATGGGTTTAATTGGCTATTGGGATTTTTATTATTTATGAGGGCGGTTCCAGCAAAGGGTATTCAAAAGTGGTTTTGATCCACAAGTAGATTTCCCCGTTGATTTCCTGCATTTCTCTGCTTTGTTCAACGGTTTGTATCATTATTATCGCTGGACCTCAGCATGAGTAATTCATTCTGATTTCTGATTCAATTAATTGAAGTATAATGCTGCGGCAAGATTTGAGTTGTCATTTGAATCTGTAAGAAAAACAAAAAGCAGAGCAAAAAAACCAGCAAGATGATGACAAGTTCAGTTTAAAAGCTCTTTGTTGGTTTTCTGGATGGAAGGAAAGAAAGGGGATGTAAATGGAAGTGCTTCTTTTAGCTTTCCGAGAATATTTAAAAAGTAAAACTTGTATTTTGTTTACATTTACATACGAGACAGCAGTCGTTTATGAGTAAACATAAGATGGTTCGTTGACTTCAAAGGAGGTCGCAGTTTAGTTGGGTACTCAGTTTTCGTTAATTATCAAGGATATTCTTTATAACCCAATAAAGATGAGAAACGTTTTCATTTAAATTGAATATCTTTTTAATTTAGTCAAGATTTGTTGGGTATAAACACATCGTAAATGACCGACAGCATGCTTCTTATAAATGCGCTTAATTAATAAAAATTAATTTGACAACCAAGACAGCGCGAATAAACAGATTTACGTGCACATTATAGACCCTGCTAAAAGTGAATGAAAAATCTGTCAGAAATTAATTAAATTTATGAACAAAATAAAAACGAGAAAGTAAACATGTGTTGTATTTCCCCAACTGCCATGTGCAAGTCTCACCGTCTAGTAATCGTAGTCGTCGTATCAAAGCACCCCACTAACTCTATGTCTTTCCAACCTCTGTCTTCCCGCAGAATGAGCCGCCAACACCAGCGGCACCACCAGCAGCACCACCACCTGCCCCTGCACCAGCAGCAGCAGCCGCAGCAGCAGTTGCAGATGCCGCAACAGCAGCAGCAGTTGACGGCGCAGCAGCAGCAGCAACAGCAGCTCCTCATGGCGGAGCATGCGGCTGCCGCGGAGGCGGCGGAGCTGTTCGACCTGCTGTGCGTGGCCACCACGATGCGCCAGATCCTGGCCCTCCATCGGGCCATGTGCGAGGCAGTGGGTCTGCGTCCTTCGCCGCTGAATGACTTCTATCCGCGACTCAAGGCCAAGGTGCGCTCGTGGAAGGCGCAGGCGCTGTGGAAGAAGTTCGACGCCCGGGCAGCCCATCGCGTCTATGGAAAGGGAGCAGCCTGCACGGGCACCCGCGTCCTGGTCATCGGAGCGGGCCCCTGTGGCCTGCGCACAGCCATCGAGGCCCAGCTGCTGGGCGCCAAGGTGGTGGTGCTGGAGAAACGCGACCGCATCACCCGCAACAATGTGCTTCACCTGTGGCCATTCGTCATCACGGATCTGCGCAATCTGGGGGCCAAGAAGTTCTACGGCAAGTTCTGCGCCGGCTCCATCGATCACATCTCCATCCGGCAGCTGCAGTGCATGCTGCTCAAGGTGGCGCTGCTCTTGGGCGTGGAGATCCATGAGGGCGTCAGTTTTGAGCACGCCCTGGAGCCCTCGGGCGATGGCGGTGGGTGGAGGGCAGCGGTTACTCCCACGGATCATGCCGTCTCCCACTACGAGTTCGATGTGCTGATCGGAGCGGATGGCAAGCGGAATATGCTGGACTTTAGAAGGAAGGAGTTCCGCGGCAAGCTGGCCATTGCCATCACGGCCAACTTCATCAACAAGAAGACAGAGGCGGAGGCCAAGGTGGAGGAGATCAGCGGCGTGGCCTTCATCTTCAACCAGGCCTTTTTCAAGGAACTGTACGGAAAGACGGGCATCGATTTGGAGAACATCGTCTACTACAAGGACGAGACGCACTACTTCGTGATGACGGCCAAGAAGCACAGTCTTATTGACAAGGGCGTCATCATCGAGGACATGGCCGATCCTGGGGAGCTTCTGGCTCCGGCCAATGTGGACACACAGAAGCTACACGACTACGCCCGCGAGGCGGCTGAGTTCTCCACGCAATACCAAATGCCAAACCTTGAGTTCGCTGTGAATCACTATGGTAAACCGGATGTGGCCATGTTCGACTTCACCTCTATGTTCGCCGCCGAGATGTCCTGCCGTGTGATTGTGCGCAAGGGCGCCCGCTTGATGCAGTGCCTCGTGGGCGACAGCCTGCTGGAGCCGTTCTGGCCCACTGGATCCGGCTGTGCCCGTGGCTTTTTGTCCAGCATGGACGCCGCCTATGCCATCAAGCTGTGGTCCAATCCCCAGAACAGCACACTTGGAGTGCTGGCCCAGCGGGAAAGCATCTACCGGCTGCTCAACCAGACCACTCCGGACACCCTGCAGCGGGACATCAGTGCCTACACCGTGGACCCGGCCACGCGCTATCCGAACCTGAACAGGGAATCGGTCAACAGCTGGCAGGTGAAGCATCTGGTCGACACGGACGACCCGTCTGTTCTGGAGCAGACCTTTATGGACACGCACGCCCTGCAGACGCCGCATGTGGACACGCCGGGCAGAAGGAAGCGACGCAGTGGAGGTCAGTAAATCGTTTTTTTAACAAATCTGGTTTTATTTAATAATATTGCTCTCTTCTCTTAGATCTCCTTCCCCAGGGAGCTACTTTGCTGAGGTGGATAAGTGCACAGCTGCATGCCCACCAGTTTGTTACGGAACTCAAGGAGGCTTCGGATGTTTTCCGGAATGGACGTGTTCTCTGTGCCCTTATTAATCGGTGGGTGGTCGTTAAATTGTAGTGGCTTATTAACAGTTCAATTATTTCCCAACACTTAGCTATCGCCCTGATCTCATCGACTTTGCTGCCACCAAGGACATGAGTCCCGTGGAGTGCAATGAGCTGTCCTTCGCCGTTTTGGAGCGCGAACTGCACATCGATCGCATCATGAGCGCCAAGCAGTCGCTGGACCTGACCGATGTGGAGTCGCGCATCTGGCTCAACTATCTGGACCAGATTTGCGAGCTTTTCCGCGGCGAAATTCCTCACATCAAGCACCCCAAAATGGACTTCAGCGATCTGCGACAGAAGTATCGCATCAACCATACGCACGCTCAGCCCGACTTCTCCAAGCTTTTGGCAATGAAACCGAAAGCCAAGTCACCCATGCAGGATGCTGTGGACGTACCCACCACTGTGCAAAGGCGTTCGGTTCTGGAGGAGGAGCGAGCCAAGCGGCAGCGTCGGCACGAGCAGCTCCTCAACGTTGGCGGAGGGGCCGCGGGAAGCGCCGCCGGAGTTGCCGGGAGCGGAAGCGGAACGGGAGCCACTACTCTGGGTCTGTTGAAGATTACTATCTTACATCATAGTCTGGCAAAGAAATGAATCTCGGAGTGGCTGCTAGATGCGCATTTATGTCAAATTTTACCGTGGCAATAAAATCTTCCCCACAATTGCTTATAGCCTAGATTAGTAGTGACCGAATTCGGATAATTTGTAATTTACTAAGTTTTTTAACTGGCTTTACTACTTTATATTGAAATGTTGCTTTATAAGACATTGTTAATAGCATAGAACTATTATAAATATTTTCTTTATAAAGCAATTATGAAAAAAGTAGAGGATTTGACTCGCTTGACAACTTTACTTGGAAGTACTGCATCAGACTTTTGTAGTTACGTTATAACTTTTAATAGCAAGGAACTATGATAAATATTATTTTTTTTAAATCAAATATATAAGAATGCGCGGGATTTATTTAAGTAATGTTTAGAAGATGGCAAGCCACTCCAGAGAATCGTTTATTTTTATCAAAATATTTTTGAACTGTTACTCATTGTTCATTTATTTATGCAACAGGTCAAAACGATACGCCACGACGGTCGAAGAAGCGCCGCCAGGTCGATAAAACCGCCAATATTGTGAGTAAATGCTGGCATTATATTATATCATGGATTGGTTCATTCGGGAATGTGCAGAAGGTCTGAGGAGTGCCTTTGCGGCTCTTATTCTCAGCCGTTTGAACATTTTGTTATCTATACACATTATGTGTATTTTTCTTTCATTCCATGCTCGTTACAAAATTGTTTGAATTCAGCTCTCTCTCATGTACATTCAATGAAATTAATTGTTAATCACAAATGTAAATCGCAAGAAAACCAAATTCA